ATTGACACCTTTTGGAGTGGAAATGAGCTATCCCACTAAACCCTGCCCGAATTACAGGTTCATTAGCAAAATAAATGATGGTTGTTTTAAGCCATTAAGTCTTGAGATGGTTTTCTTAAGCAGGGATAGGTAACTGGAACAGCATCCTATGTTTATCATGCAGGGAGGTGGTGCAACTCCGTAATTGTGGGTGGCCTATGACTATCTGGTTCAAAGCCTACCTCTGCTACTTACTAATTGTATGACCTTTGGCAAATCACTTAACCTCTCTGTGCTTCAGTTTCCTTCTTTTTTCAATGTAAATAAAATAGGACTTAAGTTTGTTGTGAGGATTAAGTGATAATGCAGGTAAATGCAGATTTATAGGTAATACAGAGCAATCTTTGTGATCATCTCAGACAAGCCTTGATCGTTCCACCATTCTTCTCATGTGATTCTAGTTTTTGTCTTTATAGTACTTTTGGTATTTGTGTGTGAGTGTGTGTGTGTGTTTACATATGTATGTATATACATACATATACAAATATAGTATGTCTGAAATGTCTACTTGTTTATTGTTTCCCCACCAGAGTATAAGTCCAAATAAAGCAGGAGACTTACTTGTCACTTTCACTGCTGTATTTCCAGTATGTGGAACGGTGCCTGGCACAAAGTGCTTAATAACTTTTTTGTTAATGAATGGATGAATAGCATGTTCACACTTCTTGTGGAAGACATCACTAGTTCCTACCCAGTATCCATTCTCTCCTTCCACAGTAGTGGACCCTGCTTTTGTTGTGGATGTCAATATAAAATCCTGTCCCAGATTCCATTGCAGCTAGGGGTTATTGTGTAATGTATTTCCTATCAATGAGACATAGTCAAAAGTCTGCTAAGGATGCCTGGGAAATTTTTTGCTTAATATAGGCATTGCCCTTTCTTCCTTCTTCTTTTCCTCCTTCCTGCCCAAAATCCAGGCTAGAAGGAGAACAGCCCCAAAGACCATAAACATGAGAACAAAAACAGAAGCTACCTGAGATGTTAATGAATTATCTAGTGGAGTCACTATACCACAAACATTCTATGTGAGGAAAATTAACCCCTCATAGTTAAGCCCCAGCAGGCAGCCTTCTGTTACTTTCAACCAAATACATTCTCAACTATGGTGGAGTAATAGCAACCCTCTAGGCTGTTTATTAAGGGCAAGGGAATATTTCATCTTCCTTACTACAGTGGGGCCTTGACTTACAAGTGTCCCGACTAACGAGTTTTTTGAGATACCAGCTGTCTCTCCGCTGATTTTTTGCATTGAGTTGATAGAGTAATTTGAGTTAACGAGCTCCTTAACGAGCTCCTTAATGAGCTCGGTCTCGATCGAATTAAACTCGTAAGTCAAGGCCCCACTGTATTCTATAGAAGGATTAGAAGAATTTACCAGCACAAATGATATTACTCAGGTCTCTTCAGCTCCTCCAAATAGTGAGAGTGGGCAAAAAGCAAGGGATACCCCATTATCTGAATCTATTTGGCTCCTGAGTTCAGTCATTTTAAATAGTGGGGGTAACGTGTGCCATTCATTCCTGAAACCAACATGTATTTCTTGTGCTCTTGGCCAGGCATCATATGGCTTCAGATGATTGAAGCTGGATGCCCAAGTTCCCACTAAACATTAAGCTCCCAAAGGGCAGGAGCTGAGCTGCTCCCAGTAAGAGATTTAATTCTAGCAGTCTCTCTGCCATCTTGTTCCTCATCTCAATCTTCTTTACCTCTGACCCCACTGCAGTGGTCTGACTTCACTTATTCCCATTCCCCAGCTTTTTTTTTTTTTAGTGTTTCCCATGTGCCTAGAATACTCAGTACTTGGACTGCATATCTATTTGTATTTGAATTCCTCCTAATCTTTTACTTCCAGATTATTCAGATTTCAAATTATCTGCTTTCTCTACAACTAAATCTCCGTATGCTCCTGCTGGTCCATCATAAAGTGGCTGTTCTCCCAACATGAAACATCTGTGTGGTTTACCTAAACTCAGCTGTGGGTGCTGGGTGCATTAACCTGATCCTGATGTCATGACTGGGTGTTGTGATCATAAGCACAAATGATCCCCTCACTCAGCTCCAAGGTACATCCAGACCAGAAAATGAGACAGTAGTAAAATGTTTCAGACTAATCATAAACTATGCCCAAAAGAGTAAATCTTTAGGAATTGCTGCCATGGGAACACAGATATAACAGGTTGAGGTAGACTATTGAGACAAGTGGCAGGAATCCTAGGATGACACTATATCGTCACCTTTCATATTTTACTTTTGAAGGTCTATTTTTGTTAATCCTTACCCACGGGTATTTTTCTGAGGATATTTTTCCATTGAGTTTTAGGGAGAGTAGAAGGAAGGGGAGAGACAGAGAGAGAGAAACATCAATGTGAAAGAGACACATCCACTTGTGCCCTAACCGGGACTCATTTCGAGGTACGTGCTCTTGACTGGAATCGAACCTGGGACCCTTCAGTCCGTGGGCTGACACTCTATCTACTGAGTCAAACCAGCTAGGGCTGAGGGGAGGGACGGGGAGGGTATCTTTAAAATATTTGTGTGTGTATGTGTGTGTGTGTGTGTGTGTGTATGTGTGTGCTATTCAGGGGCAGGAGGTTGGTCCAGTTTGAGAGACTGATGGAAATTATAGCACCTTTCTTCAAAATAATACACATCTGTACACATACACACAATATTTATAAACCATTTCTGCAGGTCCAGGTTAAGAATCCACCTGTGATTCGCCATGAGGGTGGAAACTTTTTCAATAACATAATTTGGTCCTTTATGAGGTACAATTTTCATTTCTCTTTTGTGTGTGTTTTATCCCATTGAGCAGGCAAGCTTCCTGCAAGGAACATTAAAAAACAAACAAAAAAAACCCTTTTTATTACCCTAGTGATGTATGTATATAGGGCCGAGACTTGTGGGAAATATTTGAATATTTGCCAATTGAGTCCTTTGAAGCTGCTATGATTTACTGTGGAAAGGCAGCTTTCAATATTCTGCCACCCCACTTCCCTCCAAAACAAAAGAGACCCTATTATACTCAATGTTCTAAAACTTTGTAAGTTTTAGGCCAAGGCATTATTTACATACTCTTCATACAAACATCCAGTCTTGGACATTTAGGGAACATAGTAGTGCCTAGTGGAAAGCTTTATAGCCCCCCACCCAAAACAGTAAATATTAATAAACAAATGCACTCTATTACCTTAAAAATCTGTGGTCTTTATTCCTTCCATAGCTCCATGCCTCACCCCATGCATACCCACACCTGTAATCAGATCCTCTACTTATCCCATGATTTTTTAAACATTAATTAAAATTTTTTTGTTTTGTTCATTCTCACACCAGGATATTTTTTCCACTGACCTTTAGAAAGAGTGGAAGGGGGAGGAGGGGTCAGGGGAGAGAAACGTCTGTTGGTTGCTTTCTGCATGTCCTGACCAGCGGATCAAATCTGCAACCAGGTATATGCCCTTGACCAAGAATGGAATCTGCACCTCTCCAGTGCGAGGCTCTAACCACTGAGAACACAGGTCGGGGCTGAATTTTATTTCTCAAACTACTGTACATTCCTTTCCTGGTATGTGCTTGCAGGAAAAAAGGAATAAACCTAATGCTAATTGAATAATGGCCTGGTAGTTTTTCCTTTTTTTCAGATCCTTCCCTCCCACCTATAAATTTCAAAAGGGCCATCTTTAATCCTAACCTCTAGAATTTGAAAGTGTTTTCCCTCCTCCAGTCCCCTCCCTGACTTTGTAGGCAGTTACAGCCACCTAGTGGCCATATGGGAAATGACAGATTACTCCAAAAAGCTGGTGAGAGGAAGAACCTCATGGAATAATTTTTGGTCTTAGATCTATGGAGAGCAAGGAAAGAGAAACCTGTGGATAGAGACTGTAGCACAGGACCCAGACATCCTATTTCTTGGCCCCACCTTGCCTCCTAGGATGCAACATCCCATTCACTGGTTATTATAAACAAATGAATTCACTTAACATTTGAGTTCATTTAATCAAAATTTATTGAGCAGCAACTGTGTGCCTAACACTTGAAATACAGCAAGAAACAAGTTGGACACGATTAATGCTCTAATGATATAGTCTAGCAGCCAGCTAGCCAGCCAGCCAATTACATCCATAATTTTAACCCAGAGGTGATGATAGCTTGGAAAAAGGAAGATGGATTCCAGAGATATTTAGGAGTTATAGTCTACTTGGAGAGTGACTGGTTGTGTGAGGAGAGGGATGTGTTTCTGGCAACAGGTATTGAAGTAGGAGACTCTGGAAGAGGGACAGATCCCATAGGCATAGGTCCTGGGGATGCACAGGCCTACAACAACAACATAGCTGTGGTTCTCAAAGAGTTTAGGATTTAACTGGGCAGACATGATGCACACAAAACAACTGTAGAGTTGATTAAACATCAAAATGATTCTGGTAATTCATGGACTCTAGCAATACATGGGACTAAAAGAATCCCTCAATCCTCACCTTGTGTTCAGGTACTGCTGAAGCCAAAACAGATGTCTCCACCTTCATCCATGCCTTTCATAGTTGGCCCTTCAAAAAACTCCTATGGCCCTAGCTGGTTTGGCTCAGTGGATAGAGTGTCAGCCTGCGGACTGAATGGTCCTGGGTTCGATTCTAGTCAAGGGCACATGCCCAGGTTGTGGGTTCAATCCCCAGGAGGGGGCATGCAGGAGGCAACCAATCAATGATTCTCATCACTGATGTTT